ATCGAGGATGGGTGTAGATGCCTATGGGCCACAGCATCAACTTACCACCAGGTGAACTGTGTGCTCATTTCATACTTATTCTATTTAAAAAAATAGCAATAAGGATAACCAGTAAAATTACAGGCCTTTTATTGATTGATGTTGAGGATGGACACATTTTGTCTGAAAGTCGTTTACCAACATGGATTTTTTAAAAAAATTAACTGAAGTGTAACCCCTTGTGTGGCGATCGGCCAGAATCTGGCCGATGGTTTATCACGCGCGTCTGGCAAGCGACCAGATTCTGGCCGATCCACGGTTAGGTATTTGGCGGGTAAAATGACTGGCGACAATGATTGCTAGCACACATAAACTTATAGAATATTCCAGACCGAAGAAAGAGTACGCAACACAATGCTACTAAGGTACTCTATTGTTTAGAGATTTCGAATAAACAGCCTGTGACGCAGTCGTTTGTGAATTTCGCTTTCGTGTGGTCACCCGTCGCTGTTATAATGCCTTTTTTTATAGCTATATCGAGTGAATAGTGAAGTTTGGTGCTGTTTTAACATGGATAGGTAAGCTACCAATATTTATTAATTAATAAATTAGGGATTTGTGTACTTTTTAATCAAAAAAACATAAACGGCTGTTGTACTTTCTTACCATATACTTACCTCTGTTGTTGATGCAAAATACATTATTCATAGCAAATACCTTTAGCAAATTAATTTATTATAGTAATTACATACATTTTATGTGTTCAGTGTGTCTATCTTTCACTATATTTCATAAAATATCAAAATTAGAAACACAATAAACAATCGGCCAGATTGTGGCTGCTTGCCACACAGTAGGTATATTAGGGTCAACTCGACCGAGTCCGCTATTTTATTTGGTAGCTCGATTGGTATGAATATGATTAGTAGAGTCTATGTTGGACTAAATATTTTCTTGTATTTTTTATATTAGTTATTTTGGTAATGGTAAATATTAATAAAATATGTTCCTATATATCGTAATAAATTCATATAGTACATAAAACTTAATTTCATGGAAGTTTTGGATTATTTATATATTTGGATTATTTTACATCTTGATATCAGATTACAATATCATGATGGGTGGGGTGGACAAAAAAGACCAAATGTTGGCAATGTACCCCATTGAAAGAAAAAGAACAAGGGTGTGGTACAAAAAAATTTTCCGTCGTCTCCTTAATGTTTCTGTTCTAAATTCGTATATATTAGTTAAACAGTCTTCTTCTTCTTTCTCTCATCGTAGTTTTAGGATATCGCTTATTAAGTCTCTTTTACAAAAACATTCGTCCCGTTATGTCGCACCTACCAGTGAAGATATCAGCAGAGATGTGCGAAACCATCACCTCGCAGAGTTTGCGCTTCCGCCCGGTAAAAGTGGCAGGCATATGTATGACCCCTTGCTTTCACTCTACATTCGTATATATATATATATATATATATATATATATATATATATATATATATATATATATATATATATATATATATATGTATACACAACATGTAACATAATTAACGCACTTTGAGAAAGTAGTTTTTCCAGAATCCTTTACTGAATCGATACCTATCATTTTTAATATAGGTAATTTTTTACCCCAAAAATAATTAAAACTACGTAAATTACAGTCACACTAAATCTGTACAGTCCAAACAAGTGCAGTACAGTTTTATTTGTATTATTACTAATTCTGTCATTCAATAAAAATAAAGAAAAATGAACTTTATTTCAAGCATATTAAAGTCTTTGCGTTCGTGGATTTGTACTGTGATCACAACATTCTTCCGGAATTAGTATAACTAATTTGATAAATAATCAGTGCATAAAAATGTTTAACTAAAAATTCAGTGTATGTATTATGATTATAACATAATATACTAATTGGGGTGTCTGAGGGTGTGCGTTAATAACGTTACATATTGTATATATATATATTTTTTTATGTACTATTCCTTTATCATCCATAGCGTGATAAGCATAAAACATTATCAATGAGACTTCCTTGTGGTGGTTTGACAAGCGGTATATTTTGGCAATTATTTTTTACGATTCTTGCAATAGTACCTAAACAATTTCTAATTCACGTTACAATAAATCATGAACATGAAAGAAACTCAGACCCAAAACAACAATCTAAGAAATTCAAATGTGACATCATCAGGTCTTATCCATATTATGTTAGCACTATTTTTTTAGCTAGTTGCCCTTTTTCTGTAATATTACCTGTTTTCATTCTGGATTTCTACAATGTTTTTAGGCAACGTTCCTTTTATTTGTATATTTTCAATAGTAAATTCCATGCTTTAAGTTTTATATTATTTTGAATAAATCCAATAGAATTTACTCTGAGATACAAAGTTTGAGAGGACGTTTTGCAGCGATTATTTTTATATGTTTTGTTTAAAATCTATAAATATTAAACCATACAATTTATATAATTGAAACTTCGTCTACATTAAGAACTTGAATCATTCATAATTGTCAAATATTATTGCATGCCACTGGACTCGCTCCCTTCTCAGAATTAAAGAACAAATAAGCCCCATTTTTTGTGAGACACTCGGGTCACCCTCCTGTGTTAAGATATTGAAATGCTTGTTGTGTAAAAAAAATGTATGGGAATGTGTGGTTATTTTGCATTTTTATTGTAAAGTTGTGTATATTAATGTAAATAAATGACATTTATTTTATAAATTAATAATTTTATTGTTTAATTTTCACATATTATGTACAGAACACTATTAAAAATTAGGTTGCCTAACTTTGGAATAAGATTTATCAAATCTCTTAAGCTGTATTCAACTTAAATATCTACAAAGTAATAGCAAATATTATAACAATTCAAATGACATAAGGTCATAGCTTCCATACAATATTTTAGAGAAATTACTAATAAAATCGCCACGCGTCGATATCACGGAAATACCGTGCTATAAGACTTAGCAGACGTGCAGTGTTTGCAAAATCGCCGCCGCCATACGAGGGGTTAAAAAGTATTTTACTGAAGTTAAATAATGCATCTTTAGCCATCTTCGTTTAATGTTCATTTCAGGTATCTATTGGCTACAGCAGCTACTTAAGATCTTAATGAAAAATTTTAAAAGAAATATATGAGATCTACAATCGATACTCAGAAGGAAGGATTAGTGTAACTTGAGAAAAAAAATATAAGAGTACAATCCGGTTGAGCTAAGTTTGCACCTCACTGCAATGTGAGAATCTCAATTTCTCCACTATTAACCCTCTGGCCATACTGTCGCGTAAGTACTGTTTGCATCTTTGTTACTGGTACGCATGTCTTAATTTTTATCTCCTGTTTGTTTAGTTTTTGGATCACTTTTGTTGTTATATCATCTGCACCAAGTGCAAAGTAAACTTATTTGAGTTGCAAGTATTTACTATTACCCTGATGAGTGAAGTGATGAAAAAAGGAGTAAGTTGTGGAGACCACCCCAAAGAATAAATTTCCAACTTGGGTTACTACCATTGATATTAGTGCTTACATTTTTTTGACAGTAGGTGTAGCTACAGTCCCTGGCCAAATTATTAGACGCACTGCAAGATTTCATGTAAAATATTGATTACCGAAGTGATATTGTACCGTTTTATTATTTTAAATTGATTTGTTTTTTATTTTTATATTATCCAATCAATTACCTATTTATTTGACATAAATAAAACAGCATTAATTTAGAAAAGAGTAAGTTTATTAAATTTTAAAGAAAAGTGAAATTAATGCTAGTAAAAGTCAATATTTAGTTGAGCCACCTTTAGCCGCTATCAAAGCTTTAATTCTGCGCGGCATGCTATCAATGCAAGACTGTACTGTCTCCTGCATTTGAGGATGATGATTCCACACATAAATAATCTTTTCTAGGAGCTGGGTTTTGTTGGTAATCACATCTTTAGCCACTTCTCTTTTCATCAGCTCCCACACATTTTCAATGGGGTTCATATCAGGGCTATTACCGGGCCAATCCAACAGAGGGATATTTTTTTCTGCCAAAAAAGCTTTAACAGACCGAGCAGTGTGGCAGGGAGCTCCATCTTGCATGAAAGTGAATGGTTCCCCATTTGGAAACCATTCTCTGAGCTGCGGAATCAACCGATTTTCCAGTACTTCTTTATACTGATCTTGCCTCATTATTCCTTTGACGACGTACAGACGTCCAGTGCCCTTGCCGCTGATGGCTGACCAAATCATCACTTTGGTGGGATATTTAACCGTCGGGACGACACAATCAGGATGAAACTTTTCTCCATGACGACGACGCACATACTGAGCTTTATTTTGTAAAATTTCGAATGTGCTTTCGTCACTGAAGCAGACCTGTCAAAAATAGGAAAAAATATATAAACTTCCATGTTTATTTGCTTTATTTCAATGATAACAATGCATCAATTTTTGATTAAATTGCTGTATCTTACCGATCTCCAGAAGTCCACATCTTTGTCTTGCCATTGTTTGGCCCACTTCAGGCGCTTTGCTTTCATTGCAGCTGTTAACTTGGGCTTCCTGGCGGGGCGACAAGCCTTGAAATCTAATTCTTTCAATTTTCTTCGAACAGTGCGCTCAGAAGCATTTACGCTAGCATCCTGGAGTTGTGATTTTATTACCTTTGTGGTAGCAAATCTGTTTTGTAGACAAATTTTCTTCAAACATCTCTCTGACCGTGGAGTGAAAATTGGTTTTCTACCGCATCTTTTCTTTCTTTTCGGGCTTAATTCCTCCCCTGACTCAATTTTCTTTTTTATGCGTCGTACACTACATTCAGAAACCTTCAATCTTCGTGATATTTCTCGGTTTGTAAATGTTTTCGCAATCACAAGGGCCTTCACTTCAGCTTTTTTACGTGGTGAAAGATCGCATTTTCTACCCATAATGAAAATAATCCAATTACTTTTTTAAAACACTGCATACAAAATAAACTAATAACTGAGTAGTATAAAACTGTTAAACAAACAATCACTGTCCATAAAGCCACAAAAACACGTTCGTACCTGATTCGATTCCGATCGCGACTGATACAGATTTGTACTTGTTTACGTTCATGTATCACTTTGTCAACACAGTGTTGCCATATGTTAAAAATAAATACAAATATGTAGTCTACAACAATTCTTTTAAATAAAAATCAATAATATTGTAGTTTAAATATACCATTATTGCATAAAAACTCTTAAGAAACATAAAATTACTAAAAAAATACAGTGCGTCTAATAATTTGGCCAGGGACTGTATTTGCATTTTGGCAATATAACTTTAAAAAACTAGACTAATAAACATAAGATCTATGCATAATAAAAATTTGAACCTTAACCCGATTGTAGGTTTTTTAGAGTTGAGCCAACTTTGTGCATTTGCAGCATTTTTCTAGAACTATAAAGGTTGACTCAAGCTAGACTGAGTCGAGTGTCAGCTGTAGCATGGTCACCAAGCCGGTTCTGTGCCTGAAATTACAAGCTCGGGCCTTGACCGAGCAATTACTGTTGTGCCACAATGCAGTTTACTCGTCTTAGTAAAACTAGTGTTATAACTGGACTACAATCATGTTTAAGTTTGAAGATCTGGAATTAGCAGCTAATGCGATTGCTCTAGACGATGAAGAATCTGATAAATCTTCTACTACAAGCCAGAACCGAGTTGTTGAGGAGCGTTGTCCGTTGCTCGGTCGTCACCCGGTTACCGCTCGGTATAGCGTGAGTGTGCCCACACAAAATATATGTAATATTAGTTGACCGTGCTACGGCCGACATTCGGCTCGGACCCGACACGGTCTAGCGTGAGTCATCCTTAATGCTTACGAGAATGAATTATCGAAATGATAAGTGATTTTGATTGTGTACAGTAGAGAAAATACCTGTATAGAGTCTTTTGTAAAATGTTTCTTGTCTCGCATTCCAACACCGTGCATGAGGGCCCAATCTTTAGCTTTTTCGATTACTGTCACTAATAATTTATGTTCCAAAGGCAATGGAATACATGATGCAAGCCGAGCTTGAGACATGACGCTATAATACTGAAGTATTATAATTTCAAGCTATTTAAAATCAAAATTATGAAAACGGGAATGTCTTACACATTCATATAATAATATATAATAGATAGGATTGTAAAATTTTGCTAATCCCTAAATTTTAAACTACAAATCACAAAAAAACAAATTAAAGAAAACAGCAAACTAAATTTTCAGTAGTGATGAAATATAAAAATATTTGTTTTGCGCCTTGATAGGCATGTCGATCTAAAATCGATTAATCGAAAAATCGATTCTTTGGAGTAAAATAAATAAAATTTTTGTGATCGATTCAGAGCACTGCATCGATTCACTGAATCGATCCAAAAACCTCTCGAATCGGACTGATTTATCTGATTCAAGAACTAGCGATAAAATGCCCAATCTGGCTGAGGTAAGATACCGCAGTTTTTTTTAATTTTTTGCTGTTGGGAGACGCAAAAACAACCGGTCGTACTTGGTTGATAATTTGAACACAATATATATTTGAATAAAGTAAATAGTTATTAACGCATCCAACAATATCGAAAAGTTGTCATTTCATTTTCAATAGTAAAATTCTAATTCTAATCTTACCTATGGAATGTTGGTCTAACTTAATCTGTGCTGTGAACAAAGACTATACCTATTATATATACTACAATAATAATAATAATAATAATAATAATAATAAACATACCGAAACATACCGATACCTGGGTATGTCACAGAACATCGGTATCGATGAGGCTGGTATGAAACAGTCAGTTTGCGACGTGTTTTATGCACGCTTGACCAAAGTGCTTAACGGCCTTTTTGTCCGGTGTGAATAAGACACACGCATATAACGGTTGGGTCATGCCTGTCCTCATGTATACCTTTGGCATACTCAGGTGGAGTCAGACTGAACTTAACGCCCTGGATAGAAAAGTCCGCACTACAATGACGTCCCATAGGATGCATCATCCGAGATCGTCGGTAATGAGGCTGTACTTGCCGCGAAAGCATGGTGGGCGTGGCTTCTTGAGCGCGCTCACCATGCATAATCGCGAAGTGTGCAGCCTCCGTGATTACTTTCTGGTGAGATCGGATGATCCATTCTATAATGACGTCATTTCTTGTGATAAAGGACTTACCCCTCTATCCTTAGCCAACGAGCAATGGCAAGAGCCGGCAGTGCAGAGCATTTCCGACCGGGAGACCGTATGGAAGGAGAAGGAGCTCCACGGGAGGTTCTACAAGGCTCTACATGAGCCTTTCGTAGACACAGTAGCCTCCCTCCACTGGCTACGCTTTGGTGATCTCTTCGGGGAAACCGAGGGTTATGTCTGTGCAATACAGGATCAGGTTATTAAGACCAACAACTATCGGAGATACATCCTAAGGGATGGCACCGTCGACATCTGTCGGTCTTTTCACCATCCCGGTGAGTCACTTAGGCATGTCATCTCCGGTTGTTCGGCGCTTTCTAACTCTGAGTACTTGCACAGGCACAACCTAGTAGCCAGAATTCTTCACCAGGAGCTCGCTCTGAAATACGGTCTCGTGGATCGGAAATTGCCGTATTACAAGTACTTGCCGGAAGCCGTGCTCGAAAATGATCGCGCCAGGCTCTATTGGGACCGGGCCATCATCACAGACAGGACTATTCTTGCGAATAAGCCTGATATTGTGCTGATGGACCGGGCACAGTCAAGGATATTTTTGGTCGACATTACCATTCCGTATGACGAGAACCTCGTGAAAGCCGAAACAGACAAGCAAACAAAATATCTGGACCTGGCTCACGAGGTGACCGACATGTGGGGTGGTCTGCCGACCGAAATTATTCCTGTAGTCGTCTCTGCAAACGGGCTAATCCCAGCCAGCCTCTCGGGTCATCTGAGTCGACTGGGACTACGTGGCGGACCGCTCCAGGCTCAAATGCAGAAGGCGGTGCTCCTCGATACCGCCCGCATCGTCCGCCGGTTTCTTTCCCTTTCCCCCTAACCCTCGGCCGTTTGGTCTCCCCTGCCGAGGGCCTCCATCTGGTTGGGCTTTTATTTATTTATGTATTTTTATATTTATTTTATGTTATTGATATTTATGTATATTTATCTTTTCATTTTCATTTATAAATATATATTTATAGAACCCAACCAGATGAGAAAACTATATAGATACCCCAAAATAATAATAATATTCCACAACTATCACACAACGCCATCTAGTCCCAAGCTAAGCAGAGCTTGTGTTATGGGTACTAGACAACTGATAAACATACTTATATATTTCTAAATACATAAATATTATAGATAAATTACACCCAGACACAGAACAAATGATCGTGCTCATCACACAAACATTTGTCCTGGGTGGGAATTGAACCCACGACCTCCGGCATAGCAGTCAGGGTCACTAACCACTAGACCAACAGGCCTGTAAATATAACATAACATTATAGCTGTAAACCTGTTTGAACTGTGTACTTGTGAATTTACTTTATTTATTATCAAAATCATACTGTGAGCTGTAATTACAGACAAATTACTTTTTGAATACCTAGGTACTGTAAATAAATATTATATGTTGAAGTTTATAGAGATTTAAGTAAGGAAATAACCAGTATTGTGTTCGTGTAGCATTCATTTCAATTTGATAAATAGTGAGTTATTAGATTGAAACAGATTTATCCAGAAATGTACGTTTCAGTTTGCACTTTTGTTAAAGTATTGTTGTTCTTTTTAGCCTAAAATGTCAAATAAAAGTGATACATGGAATCACTTTGTAAAAAAAAAAGGATCGAGTGGCGTAGGTGGGAACCACTCTTAACACAAATGTTTCAAGCTTACCAGGAGTGGTTAAAAGAAATACTAGTAATGTTAATTAATAAGATTACTAATATTTACAGCGACCACGGCTCAGATGGTTAGCACATCTGAGCCGTGGTAGCTCAGATGGTTAGCACTCGCTGTAGTACGCTGTAGTACGCGAGTAAACCGGGTTCGATCCCCACCGGCACCAATGAAATTGTTAATTGCAATTTTAAGTGCTGATTTACCACGTGCTCGGCGGTGAAGGACAACATCGTGAGGAAACCTGCATATCAGAGAAATAAGAAAAAAATATTTCGAAGACATGTGAAGTTCGCCAACACGCATTGGGGCAGTGCGGCGGACAATTCCTTGCCCTAAAACCCTCTCAGAAATGAGCGGAGGCCTGTGCCCAGCAGTGGGACGTATATAGGCTGTAACTTTACTTTACTAATATTTCATTAAAAAAAATATTAAAGTTTAATCAAAGAAAAAAATCGCAAATACTTGAAATTTCATGTTTAAAAAATGTCACGATTGATCGAAAATTGAGCTTTTAATCTTCGATGTAATCGAGTATCGATTCTAGTATCTTCGATTCAAATCGATTCAGATATCGATTTTTTTTAAGAGTGAATCGACATGCCTACTCCTTGAACAAAAATCCAAAGTGCCAAATTAGTTTTATATTTTTTTAATTAACTGTCTTTACGGCTCTGGGTACTAGCCTTTCTGAGCTTATCATTTCTTTCAGAATCTTAACTTTATATTTATATTTTATCTTCACAATATGCTGATGTAGTCACATTGCGAAGTTTTTGGGAGATTATGACGACAGCTCAACCCAGCGGACTGTTGATGACGACAGGCATTCAAGTTCATAAGGCGCCCAAGCGAAGAAATTAACTTGAGGTTTATATCAACATCAAAGCAATTGTTTCATCGTTTTCCCTAATAGTTCACACGCGCAGACACTTAATCTACAAAATTACATCACTTTTACGATTTAAAATCTACTTCAAACCATTATTCAAGCGACAAAACAGAAGTGACAGTCCGTCGTCAGCCAAGTTCCCGCCAAAACTCCCCTATATTTTTTGAGATTTACATACATCTAAGGCGTGATTTTACTGACCGCTGTCGCAGAGATCAAGCTATCTTTTATGAACTATAATATAACTATTAGAACGAATATGATTCGAACGAATGAACTAGTACGGAGCGATGTTTAAAATGAACGAGTAGGCACAAGACTGTTTGTCTTTTATTCATACAAGTCTTCATAACGCATGGGGAGGAGAGAGAGAGAGAGAGAGAGTGAGAATCGCGAAACGGACCGGGTATTCGTTTATCTATATTAAGTCTATCTATGTTCAGAAGCTTTCTTAAATTACAATGGTATAGTCACAAACTACTATACTCAACTAAATCTAAGAAATACCTTCAAACGTTTTACATTAATCGTTTCGCAATAACTTTGTGTAGTGCACGCAAGATAACTCTAACTCTTTCGGGTAGCTGAAATCAGAACTAATAGTGTGCCGCTATCTTGTTTTTATTTGTTTTTGCAGTAAACAACCGTCATCATTGTGCCGAATGTGATTAAAAGTCCTGCCATGGATATTATAATGAAGGTCAAACGTGATACTCCCCAATTTTTTTTTGTTTTCCTCGTATCATTAATAAAATGTAGTTGAAATCTACATATCTATTTATCTATGGTTGTAATGCATATAAAGCATTGTTTTTATTTTGTTTTAGGCGATTCTGAAAACCCCGGCACTCAAATAATTCAAGGGGTAATATTGCAGCAGCTTCGTATTCTAAAATTTTGACGGAGGGAAAAACTAGGAACCGGAGAAAAAAAATATTATTAAGACGATTTTGATATGGGCGCTACGTATGTTTTACGACGTGAAGGGAGAGATTACTACCACAAATAGACTGGTTGGAAATGAGGGCTGATATTTATTTTAAATATGGCTACAAATACAAATTGTGCCACTCTAAATTAAAAGTATTGGTAGAACGCAGTGATATTAGACAGCAAAATATATTCTAAGACTGCGCTAGGTTGATAAAAAAGACTTAAAAAGTTTGCATGGATTTTTAATTTCGTTCTGTTAAATAAATTTTATAATGCTGTGTTATCTCTGTTTCAAAATACCCCTTTAAAAATTAATTTAAAAACGAAATATCAGTGTTTATAAGTCTAGTAAT